GGGGGGGGGACTTCAGTGACCAAGTACTTTGTGAGCTGAGAATCGCAAAAATGTGAAGCATAATTTTGTCTGTGACATGGCATGTTGGTGGATGATCACTGGGGTTTGTTCTTGAGCAAGACTCGATAGCCCGAGCTGTTGAGCAGGGAAGCTTTGGGGTATTGACCAGCAACGATGTGTTTGTAAGATTGTCTGTCATCGTCAATGCCTTCCACCACTGGCAGGGTGTAGGCCACATACAAGCTCCTTCCATTTATCTCTGTCCTGGGCCATCCTTCCAAACTCGTTCCAAATGAGCTTCATCTCTCTCATGTCCCTTTCCACGCATCTCCTCCTTGTTTCCTGTGGCCTACTCCTGCCTCGTGCTCCTTGTTGGTTCCACTGTGGTGACTGTCTTGTGATGCTTCATCTGGGCTTTCTGATGGTGTGTCCCATCCATCGCCACTTTCTTAGTCCTATTTCTACCTCTATATCCTTTTGTCCTGTCCTTTCCCACAGCTCTTCATTTCTTATTCTATCCTGCCACTTATTTCTCAGGATACTCCTCATACATCTGTTGATGAAAGTCTGGACTTTATTCAGAACTATCTTTGTTGTCTTCCAACTTTCGCAGCCGTAGAGGAGCACAGACTTGACCTTGGAGTTAAAGAGTCAAGATTGTCTGTATTGGTGTGATATTGTGTGTATTATGTGACAATAATGAATTAATGTACAGTCAAACCTGCTCTATCGACCATTTCTTGTTCCAGACAATCACGTGCATGAACGACCACTGCCTAATCTCCCCCTTACCCCTTATTTTTTTTTTTCAAAATACAATGGCACTGTCCAGGAGAACCACCTGTCTATAATGACCACTTTCTCCTCAACAGTGGGTAGTCATCTTGGACAGGTTCAAATGTATGCATGCAGGTGCATGCGTGTGTGTATATTATGTGTGTATGATATTGAACACCAAATTTTACCATGAGGATCACTGAAAATGCAATAAAGTTATCATTTTATAACTCTGATGTACAGGGGAACTCTAAATCTTTTCTTTTTCTCCCCACCAGTCCAAGACATTCTAAACGTCATCATGCTGCGGGAGCTGGTGGTGACGGGTCACATGGTGTACCCAAATCTGGACAGATTTGATTCTGCCAGACAGGAGATGGCACAGTGGATCAAAGAGGTAGGCTATTAGTATTGATTGATTGATCGATCGATTGATTGGTTGATTAATCAATCCCCCACCCTCCAGAGCCTACAAGAACCATGTGTCTGAGCTCCTGAGAGAAAACTCCATAGATTTAGTTTCTGCCATGGGAACACCTATTGTTCTGTTGATATCACGCTGAACTACAGTAGAGATGGTCCTGGTTTGAATGTACAATGACTTGTTTTTATACTTGCAATGTCTTAGGAGTTTTATGACTCCCCTTCTCCTCTTCTTCTCATTTTGGCTTAGTCTTATCAGAGGTAGACGTTAAATTTGGGTGTCCTACCTCTAAAATGGCCTGATAATGTTAAAAGAGGCCTGTAAGTCTTAACATACATTTGATTTTTTCCAGCTAGTCACTGTCATTGACCAGTATAATGTCGTAAAAATTGTTGTTCAAAACTTACATGTAGGCCTATATGCATGTCTTCTTATTTATATTTTCCAGGGAAAATTGAAGTACAAAGAAACGATCAGGGAGGACTTCCTGAAACTTCCCGATGCCATGATGGAGATATTTCAAGGGACAGCAATTGGCAAACTGCTTGTTAAAGCTTAGATGTTGGCCAAAGATAGATCAGTACAAGATAGTTCACTCTTTGGTAAAAGCATCTTCGAAAAAAATTGATGGACAATTTTTAGAGTTTTATGTATTTTTGTGCTGTGAATCAGCAGGAGTGTAACGAAGCCAGTGTCCGGAGAGAAAATGTATACCTCAATTTATTAATTATTGTTTCTGTAGTCTACTGGTTTTTGGGGGTTTTTAAAAAGAAAAACAACCAATTTGATGCTTATGATAAAAGTTCATTCTATTTATATGTTGTTGCTTCTTCATTATCCACCTGAATCAGCGTCTGTGGTGTAGCGTTTTGAGGCGTTTCATGCTGAAAATATTTCCTATATATATATATATATATATATATATATATATATATATATATATATCCTGATTCGTTTTCAGTAAATAATTCCATTACATGTTACCCAAGTATTTCAATTTGGTACTGATTTTGTTGACTATGCCATTTTTACAAACTTGATTGTGTTCATTTGAACTGAAGTTCAGTATAAAGTGCCATACCATGTTAACCAAGTATGATAGTTTGATGCTGGAGTTGTTAACTGTAGATGTTACTGGATCAACACTGTAAAAGACACTCTCAGAGCCGATGACTTACCGTTCTCCAATCCACTGGACTTGCTGCTGATATGCCTTTATTTCTTCCCACAACACCCACCGGTACCAGTGGAAGAAAAAAAGTAAAAAGTAAGTTAACGTATTGTTGGCTCTTCCTTTTCTACAAACTTAATTATACTCATTTGAAGTTCGTTTACAACGAAATTGGAAACAATGAAGGTGTACAACCTGCTTAAATAACCGTTGATATTAAGAGTACATAACTTGGTGGTCATATGAAAATCTGACGAAATGAAATGTATTGGTTGTCATGTGTTGAAAAAAGCAATACTGCTGTCCAAATGCAGAGCGACGTAATTGGACATTTCATGATTTTGAGAGAAACGCAAAAATTCTTAACACTTAATATTAATATTGAGACCAGTCACTTACATAGCTTTACCCCTTTGAAAACTATTTTAGGTGTAGATACGTAACCCTTCCTTTGACACAAGACTGTATTATCGTAACAAACCAATACATGTA